AACTGCACATGAAACACTTGGAAGAATCAACAACTGGGATCTCATCCTACTGAAAAGTTTCTGCACATCTAAAGAAATCACCAGCAGAGTAAAAAGAAAACCCACAAACTGGAAAAAGTTTTAGTTGACTGTCCCTCAGACAAAGGATTTTTATCTAGAACATATAAAGAATTAAAAAATATCAGTCACCCCCCAAATTCAAAGACCCAATCCAAAAATGGGCAGCTGAGATGAATACATACTTCTCAGATAAAGAAATACAAATGACAAGTAAATACATGAAAAAATGTTCAATATCATTAGTCATTTGAGAAATTCAAATTAAAACAACATTGAGTTTCCATCTCACCCCATAAGAATGGCTAGCATTAAGAAATCAACCAAGGGACTGGGGATTTAGCTCAGCAGCACAGCACCTGCCTGGCAAGCACAAGGTCATAAGTTCGATTCCTGATACTGGAAGAAAAACAAAATCAAAAACAAAAACAAAAGAGAAAGAAATCAACCAATAACAAATGCTGGCGAGGTTGTGGAGAAATAGGAATTCTTCTCCACTGCTGGTGGGAATGCAGACTGGTTAAACCACTGTGGAAATCACTTTGGAGATTCCTCAGCAAACTAGGTCTAGAGGTTCTATTCATCCCAGCTATTCCCCTTCTGGGTATTTTCCCAGAAGATCTAAAAACATCATATCACAGCTATATATGTGCACCTATGTTCATAGCAGCACAATTTCTAGTTGCTAAATTGTGGAAGCAACCCAAATGTCCATCCACCAAGGACTGCATAAAAAAATTGTGATACTTTCATATAATGGAATAATACTCAGCTATAAAGAAAGATAAACTCGAGGCTTTTATAGGTAAATGGTCACAACTACAGACTATACTCATAAGTGAAATAAATCAGATCTGCACGTGCAAGCACAGCATTGTTTCACTAGTTTAAAACCTGAAAGAGTGAATAAAAACTAGGAGACATGATAGACATTGTGAAATGAAAGGAAAATGCTCAAGGGTAAAGGGCAACTGGGATGTGGGAAAAGAAAAGGGAAAGAAGGAGAAATTTTGTATGTTTGTATATACAGGATAGTTAACAGAGCTGAACTACAGTCTTCTATTTCTTTGCTGAAAGGAACAGTTAATGAGTCCTTGATTGACCAATATTTCATGTCTCTATTTGCTTTCCTGAGAAACCACTTTGAAGATATCAATATGTAATAGAACAAGTATTGTTAATTTCCTACCACTTTGTTTGTAACTCTGTATTGTTTGTATTGTTCTTTTGCTATTTCGGAAATAGTTGTCTGTTAATATTTTCCTTCTTTTATTTTCAAAATAGTAAAAAAGTTTTTAAAAGTATTCTGTTACTTTAGAACCACCTATAAAGTACATCATTATCAATTTAAATAGAAAAATGGTCTTTAAATCTTAATTTAATCTATATTATTCCGATTATTAGTGATTCCCATTTCCAATAATTGGCAATATTATTTGTTTCTGTCTTTTGCCTTCATGTTTTTCTTTACATAATCACTAAGTATTTGTCTTTTTGATATAATGTTTTATTATTCCTTCTTGCCTTTCAAAAAACTGTTATCAAACTAGAGTTAAAGACAAAAATATTGGATGAGAAAAACCCACAATTACGACCATGTTTTTCTCTACCTTTTCAGCTTCTGTTGCCCTCTCAGCTGTTCATTGGTTCACTCTTGCTCCTTTCTGGGCCCAGGTTCTCTTTCTCATTCCTGTTAAAATTATCAACCAAAGCATTCACACATAACTGCCAACATTGTTCTGCACCATAATACATAAATTCATCCCAGATTACTTAAGGTAGTGTTTCCCAAACAAGGTGTTATACTATGGGTGGAACAAAAGATACCTTAAAATATGTTGTAAGAAAACTTAAAAAATTTTAATAACCCATGTTTTTACTTTAATACAGATTAATATCTAATTCTTATTTACATCAACACACTGATTTTCCACCTACATGATGCGTATATATATATCTCACTTACCAATAGGGATATGTTCTGAGAAATGCACTGTCAGGCAATTCCCTCATTGCGTGAGTATTCTGGAGTATACCTACATAAACTGAAATGGTACAGGTAGTGATGTGTGTTTGTGCATTCCTGTAATTCTTACCACTTTAGGAAGCTAAAGCCAGAGGATCACAAATTCAAACCCAGGCTGGGCAAGTGAGTGAGACCCTGTTTCAAAATTAAATAAATAATGGCTGGAAATACAGCTCAGTATGAAGGCCTTGGGTCCAATCTCCAATACCAAAACAAACAAACAAACAAACAAAAAACTCAAAGTATAGTGCACTAGCTTTATAGGGCCTCTTGAGATAGTCAAGAGACTAGTTAAACAGGAGATGTATGAAGCTATCAAGGTAACATGCAGATTGTTTTACAATAAATATCTTTTTTATTAAATAGGAACACACTCTACAAAAAGTATAACAAGTACATAAACCGGCAACATACTTGTTGATTATTTTTACCACATATTATGTACAGTATGTAGCTGTATGTGGTATTTTACATGACAGCAGTGCAGTAAGCTTATTTATACCAACATCAGTACAAATATATGAGAAATGTGTTGGTGCTCTGCTGTTACAATGGCAATGACATCACTAGGTGATAGAAATTTTTCAACTCCTTCACAATGGCCTGGGACCAGCATACATACAGTCCCTAATTAACCGAAACATCATTCCGTGCTGCATGATGGTATGCAGATATAAAGATGCATAATGATGGGCTTTTTAAAAAGTGGACTTATTTCTTTCTCATGGAAAAGAAGCACAGAAGTGGCCCAGGTAAAACTGGAACAGAAACTGTCCACTACTGCCAGTAACTCAGGTTCCTCTACTCTGCTTCCTGGCTCCCTCAGTGTGTGGTTTCCATGGTGTGACTCAAGACAGTGGCTTGAGTGCCATCATATTTAAGCTAGCAATGAGGATAGAGGCAAGATCCATTAAAGAGTTAAGGGGTAATGTTTTAGAAAGACGACCATGATCCTAGGTTCAGATGTATTAAGCTTGAGGTGATACTGAGATGACTGCTGGCAACACCCAGCAAGAGTCTGCTCCTCCGGGTGGGAATCTATACATGAGCAGGTCTTCTCCATACCTGCCACTGAGGCCAGCAATGGGGAGGGAAGGCTGAGTAAGCCAGGCATCCTAGCACTGAGCCTTAAAGAAATACCTGCATTAAATTGTTGTTTTAGTGTAGGACACAGTGAGTCCTACAACTTTAATTCAAAACCAAGCACAATTATTTTAACAGGTCTTTCTCATAGGCAGAAAAGGAATAAGCAGAAATGCAAGGTAAATAAGTGAAAAAAATAAAGGAGAGTATTGTGAAGTAGATGCCAAGAGGAGAAACTGTTTCAGGAAATCAAGTTGCAAAATGCCAGGTAAGTCATGGACTGTAAAACATCTATGGCATTGGTCAACATGGAAGATGCTGATGATCTTGGCCAGATTGTTAGATCAGAGAGTCAAAAGCCCGACCCAAAAGGCTGGATAGGCAAGATGTAAGGAAATGGAGGAAAGATAAACAGCACAGATAGATCTTGGTTTGCAGCGTGGCTGGTCCTGGGAAGAAATGATGTAGATATCCACTTACAGCCTTGGAGGAAGCAGGATGTTTGTTTTGTTTATAGAGGAGAGATTGAGTCTATTAACAGTCAGGGAGAACAATTCATCTGACAGCATTAGGAAAAACACAAGGCCTGGGGGCTGCAATGTGGAGAGGGATGGAGCAAGCTTTAGAGGTAAGATTTGGAAAGAAGGCAGACTTACTGAACCCAGTTAAAGCATTTTGTGGAATGAAAATGTGGGAATTGGAGCAGTCTATGGAATGTTTGAGGACACAGTGAAAGAGAGGTGTGTTTCTGGCCTTCCCTGGGTTTATCTAAATTTTGCCTGCCTGTAGACACATTCTAGCATTTTCAGTAAGAACTGGGTGTCAGATCAGGATACAAGTTCTTGTAGATACAGAAGCCAATTCACAGTTTAAATGATTATTAGTTGACAAGATTCACATTTTTAAAAATTTGTAACAAAAGACCTGCAAGCTAGACATTACCTTACTGTCTCAGTCAAAACATGGCCTTTGTTTTTATGCATTGTGATGACTTTTGTTAGTGGCAAGCAGGATTACAAGGCATGAAGGCCCACACATATGTTCTTCCACCTTGTTTTATGAATCTCAGAACGTTTCTCTTAGCAGCTTTATTTCATTCAGCTAAAGTATTCTCCTCAGTCATTTCTCCTGACAGTCACAGTCTTCGTGTCTGTGCACCTCCCCCGCCATGGCTTTCTGTGCCTTTGCTTTCTTGGCAAACTCTGAAGTGCAACTAGTATCCTTACCTTGAATTTGAACTTGCTAAAGTCTGGGAGATATTGCCCGTCCTGGATCCTTAAAATAGTCATAGTTCAAGTTTAAATACACACACACACACACAAAACACACAAAACGGGGTTGGGGGAGGGGGGGGAGAACTTCACACACAAAACGGGGTTGGGGGAGGGGGGGAGAACTTCAAATCTACAACTTTAATTCAAAACCAAGCAAAATTATTTTAAAAGGTCTCTCTCATAAGCAGCTTTTTCATCTATTACACATGTTCCAGTGATTTAGGCAGAGAAACACAATAGTGGGAGAGACGCATTTTGTTTCTCGAGACTGCTTTCTCCGTAAATACTGCCTCTGTGATCTCGGGGAAGTGAACTGCATTTCAGTGCGGTGCCTGGGTGTGGATTGGAGATGGATAGACAGATAGATGATAGATAGATAATGGATAGATAGATAGATATTAGATAGATAGATAATAGATTTCTTTTCTTTTTTGCAGTACTAGGGAGTGAACCGAGGACCTTCGCAGCACTAAACTACAACTCCAGCCTCTTCTATCATCTATTTATCTCTATTTTAATTTTGAGACAGGGTGTTATGAAATCGTTAAGTAGTCGAGGCTGGGTTGAACTTGCGACCCCCCGCCCCCGCCCCCTGCCCCCCGCCCCGCGCCGCTCAGTCTTTGGGAGCTCTGGGGTTCCGGGTGCCCCAGACACCTGCCCACCCCGCAGCGCTGCTGGCGCGCTGAGTCCCGCAGCACGCCCTGCCCTTCGCTCCCACGCACTGCGCGCGGGGCTGCGCTGGTGCCGACCGGGGAGCGAGCGCTCCCGGCTCCTGGGACGCGCGCGACTGCTCGGCAGACCCGTGACCTGCCCCGGTCCGAGGACGCTCTGCGGAGGCTGCTCCGAACCGCTGCTGGGCGACGCTCCCGGGCGAGGCAGGTAAGCGCGCGGCTTGGGGGGGTCCCGCCTTCCGGGGGCGGGGTGCTGAGGTCCTGAGGTCCCGGGGTCCCTCCACCCAGCACCCCGGGCTGCACCCCGCCCGCGCTGGGGCTCCCAGTCCACTCCAGCTCCTGCCCCAGCGGGGCACCCGCTTTCCCAGAAGAGCGGCACCACCCATTTCCTCCGGGGTTGGAGAAGAGCAAAACGCCGTCCACTGTTTTTTAGAAGTACAAAGTAAGAAGCGGAAACATGTTTGTTTATTCCTTTTTCTCTCAACTAGGCTAGAGATATATGAAAGTTTTTTTATTATAAAGAATCTTAAAAATAACATGTACTGTGAGTTTTTTTATTTTAAAGAGAATTTAAAAAAAAACAGTAAAAACAATACGGCATTCAAGACAACATGAGAGGAAATTAACAATGATTGTTATATTGCATATTTTTATCTTCCAAGTAGTTGCTCATATCACCAGATATAGCCATGCAAAATTGATCAAACAATTAGCCATTGACTGATCCTTTCAATAAACCAATAGAAATTAGTAGTACAATTATCTTAGCTATCTTGTGTATAAATATATATATATTTCTTTTTCCTTCTTTCTTTCTTTTCTCCTTTCTCCCATCCCAGTTGTTCTTTCCTTTTGAGCAGTTTCTTTCCCTTTTACAATATCTACTGTACCTTTCTGATTTTATTTACTCTTTCAGTTTCTTATACTAGGGAGACAATACCATGTTTACACATGTGGGTCTGACTTATTTCACTCATGAGTATGGTCCGTAGTTGCATCCATTTATCTTATTCAGTCGTTCTGACCACGTATCTGGATTTCCTTTATACAATCAAATCACTTTCAGTTGGTAACCAGGGAGGGGCAAGGATGGTCAAGTCTATGGTTTGTAAACTATGAAGAATATATTTCTAATTTCAGCTGCAATCCTAATTAAACCAAAATAGCATGGGTAAAATTAATGATATTTAAAGTTATGGCTGAATATGCAAAGTTGCTATAAAATGCTCAAGGGTAATACCCGCCCCCATGATCACCAACAAAATTGAGTGCAGTTGTATGCAGGGTTCCACGAGTCTCCCATCTGTTAAGAGCTTCTTCGGGAGAATGGATAATGTAATAACCTAAAATGTATGTTCATTGTTGCTTAGTAACACATTACTGATATATCATTATCCAGTGCTTTTTGTCTATAGGTTTTCCTCAAACCGGTGTAAATCAATGAAATCTTTCTACCAGCCACTCTTGACGTCAGTCGGCAACTTCAGCAGAATTCATCATCTATCAGCTTATTACCTGGCATTTCTTATACATTTTGTAAATACATTACAAAGAATTTTAAAGTACATATTAGAAAAGCACTTTTAATTTCATGATTCTTTAACTATAGTTTTATTTTATTTTATTTTATTTATTTTTTATATTTTTGGTTTTTCTCCGGTACCGGGAACCAAACTCACGACCTTGCGCTTGCCAGGCAGGCGCTTTGCCGCTGAGCTAAATCCCCAGCCCCTATAGTTTTATTTTTATTACACTACTTGCCAATAACCTCTTTCACAGAGGTCAAAAGCTTCAGACTGTGTAGGCATAAATTCACCAGTGATTGATTTAGTCCCAGAAAATCAATCCATTTGTGACAGTTGTAATTGTTCTTGGTTGTGTGTTTGTGTACACATGCCTCTGTGATATTCATAATCCTTTTCACTGCTTTGCAATATGGGTTTCCAACAATAGTCAGGGACAATCAATTAGAACTTCATTCCCAATGCTTTGTATACTTAAAGTAGCCATTTTGTAACATATCCTCCACATTAATGGAGAAGTGGAATTGATTTTAGTGAACTCTTTAAAACTATCATGCATACACAAGACTATTAGATAAATACAATTTCACATTCTTAAAATATATACTGTATGTTAACAATATTAATAAATTATGGCTTAAATGAATGAATTTTATACTGATCATTAACCAGATATTTTCAGTTGATTTTTCTTTCCTCTCTATTTCCCTTTAGTCTTAAATTCTAGTTTTATGAGATAAAGTGGCTTTTAGGTGAGTTTTCCTTGAAACTGAACATTAAGGGTTCAAAAGCTCGCTCACTCCATTAGACTAAAGGGCAACTAGAAATGCCCTGCCTTGGCAAAGAGTTCGGGTGGTCACCACAGCAGACAGTGTTGGGAATGCCTGTCATATCCTTTGGAGTTCTGAAACACAAGACTGCCAGAAGTAAAGTGGTCAGGTTCTCCCTCCATCAAACTTCTGACTGACTCTCTGTCTCAGTCCAATCACTTAATCTCTCTTTCTCTAAGGCTGGTCAAGTGTAAAAGGGTGATTTGGTATATGGTTTCTGAAATTCTTTCACTTTCCTAGGTTTCCTGTTTCTATGGTAGGAAGGCAGAGAATCCAGAAGGAGCAGGCTCAAATATTCCTGCCTTGTCACTTGGGAACCACTACCTCAGGCCAAGGCCTCAAACCCACACCATTTGTCACCCTGGAAAAGAGCCTGGTTCAGAAATAAGTGGGGGGTCAGTCTGACTGCGGGATGCAGTACCTGACACATGTGTGATGGTCATATTTCTTAAGGCACCCATGTCTGACCAATCAAAAGAGGTTTCTGGCTATGGCTGGGAAGGAAAGAAGTAAAATGCAGGAGTCCCTCCTGTTTCTGAAGATGGCTGACTACAAGAAACGCAGTTTGTAACAGGGACCAAGAAAAGAGAGAGTCAGGGCGTCAAGCATGTTTTGAGTGAATCTTTATGATCTTAGCCATCAGGGAAGTGCAAAAGTTAAATTGATTTCAGTGCCACACAACACTGAGAAAACCCATCATGTTCTAGTTCCCATGTCCAGCCAGGTCTGCCGTTTTGGTTATGGCTAAGCAAACCACATACATTATATAGTGGTCATCACATAACAGATGTCACCACACCAGCAATTGAAAGAAAAGTGAGAGGAAGAAGAAAGAAAGAGAGAAAAACAGAAAGAAAGAAAGAAAGACACAAACTACTCCTGAACCACCCAAATTATTGGTTTTCCTAAACTAATTGTTGTCATTAAAACATCTTAAAATTTCTGAATATTATGAAAGGTTGTTATTTATTTTCTTCTTAGACTATTGAAAAGGTCTCATCTGGGTGTCTGTCTGGGATTTGGGTTCTGTTGTGGCAGCTGCAGACTAAAGCCCTTTCTCATCATTGTTGAGACATAATACTCAATACCCACAATTTAAAGGAGGAGAGATTTACGTTAGCTCACAATTTATAGAGGATTCAGTCCATAACCAGCTGTCTCCAGGACATGGCAGAGAAGAAACAGTCCATGTTAGGGCAGGCAAGAAGCAGAAAGGGATCAAGGGGTGAGGAGGGAGATAGACCCTTCAGGACATGTCCATGGTGACCAACTTCCCACCAGGCCTCACCTCCCACTGTCACACCCATTTTTAAACCCACTAGCAGACTAATCCAGTATCACACACTCATGATCTTGTCACTGCTCAAAAGCCCCACATATGAGTACATGAGGCCTTAGGGGGACATCTAGATATAAAATGTAACAAGCACTTTCTATAAGAACTAATTCTGTTCTCTAGTGCCTCACAGAAGTCTCAGTTGATTGGTGTTTTTAACACTCTAGAGGATCCTCCAGTCATATTAAAATGTTACAGTTCTGAATGCACTCTGTGGATGTTTTCAAAATTTAGAAAGCATTGACAAAGTTAAATAAAATAGTAATAGCTAAGGTATAGTGAGCTGTAACTTCATGTGCAATATCTCATGTAATCCTCATGATTTTAGAAATTGGATACAGTCACACTCCTTATTTTGTTACTAGAAACTGAGGCTTAGAAATAATTTTCCCAAGGTAAGTGTGTTTACTAGGTTGAGCAGTCAGAATAATAAGCTCACCTGTTCTCCCAGTGCACGAACTTAAATTCTACTCTACAGAGCTCCCAGTATGTGTTTACGAGAGCTTGTAATCAAAGTACTTAGTACTGTGCATTCCAAGCCTTGCCAAGCAAAAGCTAATAGCTAGGAAGAAATAAAACTTGTGATGCGTGGCTGGGGATTTAGCTCAGTGGCAAAGCGCCTGCCTGGCAAGTGCAAGGTCATGAGTTCGGTTCCCGGTACCGGAAAAAAACCAAAAAAAAAAAAACTTGTGATGCAGTTTTTCTTAGCAGAAGAAGCATCAGAGTCATTTATAGAGTTTCTTCCAATGTTCCTACCTGGGTCCTGGAAAGAGAGACTTGTGGGCTGGAAATTGGGTCTCAGCCTGTATGTATTTTCATAATTCTAAGTGAAGATCATTTTCATGATATCTGTCTTATGGTGAAAAAAAAATCAGTCCCTATCCACATTGTTGTTTTGCGGCCATTACAAAAAAATCTTAAGTGTTGTGCATGTTGATACTTCTAGGTGGTCATAAATTTGAAATGGGCACCTGCTGTAGTTCCAATGGAATGGGCCAACATAAAGTTTAATCACAGTAACAGAACTTCATTGCAGAACATTCTATGACAAATTAATTGATTAAATTCTAAACAATTAACTAGTTAACCTTTAGCCAGTTGGCTGGTTGATTAACTAGGTTGTAGCCATTGAGTTATTTTCTACACTTCTGTTTTCCTGCAAATGCTGTTTGATGTTGGTTGGAGTCTCAGCACCTGCTGTGCTTCTGGGAGTGCCTGATTCACAAATAATTTTTGCTTTGTTTTGTTTTGTTTTGCTCAGATTAACTCTACTAAATTTAATTGTTTTAAGGATTTTTCCTCCTAATATTGGGTTATTTAGAGGAAACTTAACATGCCTTCAGTTTAGCCTCACTAGCATGCCAGTTAAATTAGATTGTTGATATTAGAATTTGCCACAAGAACTTAAAGCAGATAAGGAAAACATTTCAAATTAAAAGCTTGTACCTGATTTATGATTCCTGTATTTAAGTGAGTGGGCTGTGTCTGATGCATATTTATGTTCCTCTAAGTGCCAACT